GTTTTGGTTTTTTTTTTCTGTGTTTTCAGGTGACGCTGGGGAGTATGCTTTCCACTGTTTTTGTAACAAGATACATGTGACAATAAATAAATTGAATCAAATGAAATATCTCTTTATCTCCTCATCACAGCCAACTTTCCCACCCATTTTAGTATCATCTGTGAATTTTGCTGTGTTACTCTCTGTCTCTGCTTGCAAATCATTTATATAGATTGTAAATAGTTGAGGTACGAGAACTGAACCCTGCGGCACCCCACTAGTTACAGTTTGCCATCCAGAGAAGGACCCATTTATGCTGACCCTCTGCTTTCTGTCAGTCAGCCAATGCTCTATCCAAACCAATACTGTACTCTTAACTCCCTGGGCCCTAACCTTCTGAATTAGTATTTTATGAAACACCTTGTGAAACACCTTCTGGAAGTCTAGATATATCATGTACACCAGATTCCCATTAAAGTGGAGGTAATGACCCAGTGTTATTATCGCTAAGCTGTTAATCCAGAGACCCAAGTAATGTTCTGGAGACCCAGGTTTGAATGCAGCCACAGCAGATGGTGAAATTTGAATTCAATAAATATTTGGAATTAAGAGTCTAGTAATGACCATGAATGCATTGTTGATTGTTGGAAAAATCCATTTGGTTCACTAATGTCCCTTAGGGAAGGAAACTGCCATCCTTATCTGGTCTGGCCTACATGTGACTCCAGCAATGTGGTTGACTCTTAAACTGCCTGCTGGGCAGTTAGGGATAGGCAATAAATGCTGGCCCAGCCAGTGATGCCCTCATCCCATGAATGAGTAGAAAAGAACTTAAAGACCTCCAGCAAGTATATAAAACACAACTTGCCTTTCGTGCAACCATGCTGACACTGGTGAATTGAACTTTGTTTTTTCAAGTGTTCATTTATCTCCCCCTGAATGATTGACCCCAGCAATTTCCCCTCTTCAGAGGTCAACTAACTGGTCTATCGTTTTCCACTTTTTGTCTATCTCCTTTTTTGAATAAGGGTGTCACTTCAGCATGTTTCCAATCGACTGGTACCTTTCCAGAATGCACAGAATTTTGGAATATCATATCGAAGGCATCCACTATGTCTGCTGTCACTTCCTTTAACACACTAAGTTGCAGGCCATCAGGCCCCAGGGACTTAACTGCCTTTAATTTCATTTGTTTACTTAATATCTTCTCTCCAGTTATAATAATTTCACCAGTTCCTCTATAGTAACTGTAGTTTTTGGGAAGAAATTATTCTCTTCCACTGTGAAAACGGAGACAAAATATTGGTTTAGTGCCTCTGACATTTCTGAGATTCCCATTATTACCTTGCCATTTTCGACCTCTAAAAGGCCAACATTTGCTTTCAGAGATAACCAGGTGCAGAGCTGGATGAACACAGCAGGCCAAGCAGCATCAGAGGAGCAGGAAGGCTGACGTTTCGGGCCCAGACCCTTCTTCAGAAATGGGGGAGGGGAAGGGTGTTCTGAAATAAATAGGGAGAGATGGGGAGGCGGATAGAAGATGGATAGAGGAGAAGATCGGTGGAGAGGAGACAGACAGGTTAAAGAGGCGGGGATGGAGCCAGTAGAGGTGAGTGTAGGTGGGGAGGAAGGGAGGAGATACGTCAGTCCAGGGAGGACGGACAGGTCAAGGGGGCGGGATGAGGTTAGTAGGTAGGAGAGGGGGGGGGGGCTTGAGGTGGGAGGAGGGGATAGGTGGGAGGAAGGACAGGTTAGGGAGGCGGGGATGAGCTGGACTGGTTTTGGGATGCGGTAGCGGGAGGGGAGATTTTGAAGCTTGTGAAGTCCACATTGATACCATTGGGCTGCAGGGTTCCCAAGCGGAATATGAGTTGCTGTTCCTGCAACCTTCGGGTAGCATCGTTGTGGCACTGCAGGAGGCCCAGGATGGACATGTCGTCTGAGGAGTGGGAGGGGGAGTTGAAATGGTTCACGACTGGGAGGTGCAGTTGTTTATTGCGAACCGAGCGTAGGTATTCTGCAAAGCGGTCCCCAAGCCTCTGCTTGGTTTCCCCAATGTAGAGGAGGCCACAACGGGAACAGCGGATGCAGTATGCCACATTAGCAGATGTGCAGGTGAACATTTGCTTGATGTGGAAAGTCTTCTTGGGCCTAGGATGGGGGTGAGGAGGGAGGTGTAGGTGCAGGTGTAGCACTTCCTGTGGTGGCAGGGAAAAGTGCCGGGTGTGGTGGGGCTGGAGGGGAGTGTGGAGCGGACAAGGGAGTCCCGGAGAGAGTGGTCCCTCCAGAAAGCAGATAAGGGTGGGGAGGGAAACATGTCTTTGGTGGTGGGGTCGGATTGCAGATGGCAGAAGTGTCGGAGGATGATGCGTTGGATCCGGAGGTTGGTGGGGTGGTACGTGAGGATGAGGGGGATTCTGTTTTGGTTGTTATTGCGGTGAGGGGGTGTGAGGGATGGGTTGCGGGAAATGCAGGAGACACGGTCGAGGGCGTTCTCGACCACTGAGGGGGGGATGTTGCGGTCCTTGAAAAATGAGGACATCTGAGATGTATGAGAGTGGAATGCCTCATCCTGGGAGCAGATGCGGTGGAGGCGAAGGAATTGGGAATAGGGGATGACGTTTTTGCAGGCAGGTGGGTGGGAGGAGGTGTATTCTAGGTAGCTGTGGGAGTCGGTGGGCTTGAAATGGATATCGATTTCTAGGTGGTTGCCAGAGATGGAGAGATAGAGGTATTGGAGATGGTCCAGATGAACTTAAGGTTGGGGTGGAAGGTGTTAGTGAAGTGGATGAACTGTTCGAGCTCCTCGTGGGAGCACGAGGCAGCGCCGATACAGTCATCAGTGTAACGGAGAAAGAGGTGGGGTTTAGGGCCAGTGTAGGTATGGAAGAGGGATTGTTCCACGTAACCTACGAAGAGGCAGGCATAGCTTGGGCCCATGCGGGTACCCATGGCCACCCCCTTTGTCTGTAGGAAGTGGGAGGAATTGAAAGAGAAGTTGTTGAGGGTGAGGACGAGTTCCCCCCCTCAGTGGTCGAGAACACCCTCGACCGTGTCTCCCGCATTTCCCGCAACTCATCCCTCACACCTCCTCCCTGGAATAACAACCAAAACAGAATTCCCCTCGTCCTCACGTACCACCCCACCAACCTCCGGATCCAACGCATCATCCTCCGACACTTCCGCCATCTGCAATCCGACCCCACCACCAAAGACATTTTTCCTTCCCCACCCTTATCTGCTTTCCGGAGGGACCACTCTCTCCGGGACTCCCTTGTCCGCTCCACATTCCCCTCCAGCCGTGCTACACCTGCCCCTACACCTCCCCCCTCACCCCCATCCCAGGCCCCAAGAAGACTTTCCACATCAAGCAGATGTTCACCTGCACATCTGCTAATGTGGCATACTGCATCCGCTGTTCCCGTTGTGGCCTCCTCTACATTGGGGAAACCAAGCGGAGGCTCGGGGACCGCTTTGCAGAACACCTACGGTCAGTTCGCACTAAATAATTGCACCTCCCAGTCGTGAACAATTTCAACTCTCCCTCTCATTCCTTAGACGACATGTCCATCCTGGGCCTCCTGCAGTGCCACAACGATGCTACCCGAAGGTTGCAGGAACAGCAACTCATATTCCGCTTGGGAACCCTGCAGCCCAATGGTATCAATGTGGACTTCACAAGCTTCAAAATCTCCCCTCCCCCTACCGCATCCCAAAACCAGCCCAACTCGTCCCTGCCTCCCTAACCTGTCCTTCCTCCCACCTATCCCCTCCTCCCACCCCAAGCCTCATCCCCATCTACCTACTAACCTCATCCCGCTCCCTTGACCTGTCCGTCCTCCCTGGACTGACGTATCTCCTCCCTACCTCCCCACCTACACTCACCTCTACTGGCTCCATCCCCGCCTCTTTGACCTGTCTGTCTCCTCTCCACCTATCTTCTCCTCTGTCCATCTTCTATCTGCCTCCCCCTCTCTCCTTATTTATTTCAGAACCCCCTTCCCCTCCCCCATTTCTGAAGAAGGGTCTAAGCCCGAAACGTCAGCCTTCCTGCTCCTCTGATGCTGCTTGGCCTGCTGTGTTCATCCACCTCTACACCTTGTTATCTCAGATTCTCCAGCATCTGCAGTTCCTGCTTTCTCTGAAACATTTGCTTTCAGTTCTTTTTCACATACTTATAGAAGCTTTTGGTATCAGTGCTTATACTTCCTCCTACTTTCCTTTCCTCGTTCATCTTAGCTCTTTTGATTTTGCTTTTAGTTACTTTTTGCTAATGTCTAAAGTTCTCACAACCCTCCAGAATGCCATTAAGTTTTGCAGTAATATATGCCCGAGTTTCGCCTTTATCATGAATCATAGAATCCCTTCAGCAGACCGTTTGGCCCATTGAGGCAACGCCGACCCTCGAAAGAAAAACCCACCAGACCCAACCCCCTGCCCTTTTCCCACGGCTAATCCACCTAGCATGCACATTTTGGGGCACTAGTTTAGCATGGTCAATCTATCTAACCCGCACATCTTTGGACTGTGGGAGGGAACTGGAGTACTCGGAGGAAACCCAGGCAGATGCAGGAAGTATGTGCAAATTTCACACAGACAGTTACCCAAAGCTGGAATTGAACCTGGATCCCTGATGCTGTGAGGCAACAGTGCTATCCACTGAACCTGTATGTTATCCTTGACTTCCTTGTTAAGTCATGGATGATTTTTCACCTTTGTCCAGTTCCTATTCCTCTCAGGAATATACTTTAATTGAGAGGTATTTAATATCTCCCTAAACATTTGTCACTGTTCTTCAACTGACCTGGCCTTTAATATTTTTACACTGTCCAATTGGGCCAACTCCTTCCTCAGGCCTGTGTAAGCTAGCTTGGTGAGTAGCTACGTGAAGGATATGGGGAGCAAGTGGGAAGATGGACCTGAAGAATGTGGGGAGAAGGTGAGTTGCTTGTGTGATGAAGAGAAATGGTATTTTTCTATTGGATGCATCCATTCATTCAGTTTGTTTGTGTTCTCTGCAGTTTGCAACCTGGGTGGATGCTGTGGTCTTTGTCTTCAGTCTTGAAGATGAAATCAGCTTTCAGACAGTTTACAATTATTACATGCGACTCTCCAGTTACCGTAATACAGCTGAGATTCCGATGGTACTTGTAGGGACACAAGGTACGTGAAATACGCTTTGCTACTACACAATGAGTAGAGAAAGTGAGAGGGCACAATTAAAATAAAGTGACATCAGCATAAAGGAAAGAGCAGATTGATGAATGGCTGGCGAGAGTGTAAGTCTTCAGTTTGTTTATTTAATTTATTTGACAGTCTAATAAAAGAATGTTGTGGCAGGGCAGTTCAGACCTGTAGAATACAATAATGGTAGGTGACTAATAGTTGGAGGAACAGAAGGCAGATGTGATTGTAGAGTGGTTTATTGCCTTCCTGATGCTGGAGTCGAGGATTTCATTGAGCAGCTGCATAACTTTCTGGAGGGGGAAGTATGAACATCTGGTAGTTGATAGCAGCACCATAGGCAGAAAGAGGGTTGAGGACCTATAGGCAGAGTGATTAGTAAGGGATTCAAAGGTTATGGGGAGAAGGCAGGGGAATGGGGTGAAAAAATGAGCCATGATCGAATGGTGAAGCAGACTTGATGGACCGAATGGTTTAATTCTGTGCTATATCTTATGGTCTTAGGTCAGAGGAAATTAGTAAGCAAGACCTCTTATGTGTTGAATGCTCCAAGTGCCATGCATTCTAAATAAACAAATAAGTTGATAAAGCTGACGAATGTGTAGCCCAGGAGGGAAGGCTTAAATGCCTGGGAAATTTGGACCGATTCTGGGGGACTCGGACAAGCTGCACATGGGGCAGTTTGTTAGTGCTGTTGGGGATGGCTTAAACTAACTTGGCAGAGGCTGGTCATCAAGATGCAAAGAAGGAAGAAACGTAGTGCACAAATGATTGGGAGATCTAGAAAGAGTAAGGTATCAGATGGTGCCAGAGAAAGAGGAAATATAATAAGGTATACACTAGAAAAGGAAAATACTTTAGATACTGGAAATCTGAAATAGAGTCAAAATTCTGGAAATGCTAAGGAGATCTGACCAGGATTAATGTTAACACGCTAACATAATGTTAACAGATTAAATTTGTTTCTCCTTCCACAGGTGCTGCAATATGTGCTGAATATTTACTACATTATCTGTTTTTTATTAAATGTCTAATCTAGGTTTACAGTGTAGTACATAAATGCACAAAGTGTGACAAGACGTTTAGTGAGCTGTAGGCTAATGGGAAATAGCCACGTGATAATATGAAGATGTAGTTATAATGGAGACCTGATTCAAAAATAGGGCAGGATTGGACACTAAACATTACTGTTTTTAAGAAGGTCAAGAAAGATAAGGAAGGAAAGAAGGGAAGAGGTAGCAGTATTAATGGCAGACCACAGCTAGTGTGTACCACAAGTATTGGTATTAGATCCAGCTGTTCAGAATATATGTTAATGATTAAGATGAGTGAACTAAATTTAATATCTGAAAATTTGAGGATGACACAAAGCTGGGTGGAAGGGTGAGCTGTGAATAGGATGCAGAGAATACGTAGAGTGATTTGGACAGGCTGAGTGAGTGGGCACATGCATGACACATGCTGTATAATGTTGATAAATGTGAGGTGTTCCACTTTAGTAGTGAAAACAGGAGGGCAGATTATTATCTGAATAACTGTAACTTGAGAGAGATGAATGTTCAACGAGACATGGGTGTCCCCATGCACCGGTCACTCAAAATAAGCACATAGATGCAGCGAGCAGTACAGAAGGTAATTTGTATGTTGGCCTTCATAGCAAGAGGATTTGACTCCAGGAACAGCGGTGTCTTGCTGCAAATATACAGGGCATTGGTGAGGCCATACCTGGAACATTGTGTGTTTTTTTAAATCCCTACAGTATGGTAACAGGCCATTTGGCCCAACGGGTTTACACTGACCCTCTGAACAGCATCCTACCCAGACCCATCCCCATCTCTCTACCTATCCCTGTAACCCAGCATTCCCGTGGATCACACACCTAGCCTGCACTATGGGCAATTTAGCATGGCCAATACACCTAACTTGCACATCTTTGGACTGAGGTAGGAAACTGGAGCACCTGGAGGAAACCCAGGCAGACACAGGGAAAATATGCAAACTCCACACAGACAGTCTCCCAAGGGTGGAATTGAACCTGGCACTGTGAGACAGCAGTGCTAACCAGTAAGCCATCGTGCCACCTGTGCAGTTTTGATCTCCTTATCTGAGGAAGGATGTTCTTGCAATAGAGGGAGTGCAGTGAAGGTTTATCAAATTGATTCCTGGGATCGTAGAACTGACACAGGGATAGAGATTGAGTTGATTAGGATTGTATTCACTGGAGTTAAGAATGAGTGGGGGAATCTCATAGAAACCTGTAAAATTCTAACAGGACGAGATAGGCTAGATACAGGAAGGATGTTCCCAATGGTCAGGGAGTCCAGAAACAGGGGCCATATTTAAGGATAAGGGGTAAACCTTGGAGGACTGAGATAAGGAGAAATTATTATACCTAGAGAATGGTGATCCTGTGGAATTCACTACCACATAAATTGGTTAAGGCCAAAACATTGTGTTTTCAAGAAGGAGGTAGATATAGCTCTGTGACTAAACAGTTCAAGGTAAATGAAGAGAGGGGGCGATTGAAGTATTGAGCTCGATGATCACCCATGATCATATTAAATGGTGGAGCAGACTCGAGGCGTTGAATGGCCTACTCCTACTTCTACCTCCTATGTTGCTGTGTTTCTGTGTATTTAAGGAGCTACTTCTGTGATGGAAAGGATGTTGTGAGATGTCAGTGACAGAATATTAAACCCAAGAAATAGTAGAGGTACCAATACACCATTGGATGTGTTCTATATGTTATCAATTAGTAAGAAAGATATAGAATAACAACTGTGCAAGGAAATTATAGAGAAAAGTGAATATGCTTGAGTGGAGTTAATGGTGAACTTTAATTATTCTAATATCAGGAGAATAATATTGTAAAGGGTAGAGAGGGTAAGATGTTCACATATGAAATTGGGAGATTTTCAAGATGTTTCTGGCCCAAAGAACAAAGAGGCATTGCTGGTTCTGTTAACTGAGGTGGGCTCATGCCAAGTAGAAGAATGTTTAGAGAATACTGTGCATAGAGTCATAAAATTTAGGTTAGATATAGAAATGAAGGAGCAGTTTAAAAGATCAGACTTGGAGGAGGGCTGTTTTTAGTGGAGTGAACTTACTTCAAGTAAATTACGTTGAGCGATTGGCAGGCAAAACTGTGACTGAACAACTGGCTGCCTTTAACCCGGAATGGTTTGTGTGCAAATGAGCTACATTATCATAAGGGGTAAGTGTAGGACAAACAAATCCTGGAGTTCTCTGGATTCTGAAAGCGAGTAACATGAAGTCAAAAGGAGTGCAGGTGACAGATGTCAGGTGGATAGTACAAATGGGAATTAGGCTCAACAGAGAAGTGAAAAGAAATGAGAAAGAGGGAGAGTATGAGAAGAGACAGGAGCAAGTTTGACAGCATAGTTGAAGATTATTAACGAAAAGAGACAATGAAAGAATGGGTATGAAATTGTCTGAGTGAAGGGAAACAGAGAGTCGTGGTGAATAGTTATTTTTCAGATGATAGAGATTTTTTATTGAGCCTCCTCAAGGATCAGCTCTAAGCTTTTTACTCACTTGTGGGATGTGGGCGTCATTCTCAGCATTTATTGTCCATCTCTAGTTGCCTTTGTGAAGGTGGTAGTGAGCTGTCTTCTTGAACTGCTGCGGTCCATGTGCTGTAGGTAGACCCACAATGCCCTAAGAGAGGGAATTCCAGGATTTGACCCAGTGACAGTGAAGGAACTAACTAGGGGGCACTTTCAGCTTGGTAACCTGTAACTAAAGGAAAGTCACAGGGATCGGGGCTGGACCCACAATTATTAACCAAGTATAGTAATGACTTTGATAAGGAGAGTGAATATACTATAGAGATAGTAGGATCTGCAGATGCTGGAGAATCTGAGATCACAAGGTGTAGAGCTGGATGAACACAGCAGGCCAAGC